CACCACAAATCACTCTCATTATATAACCTACAAGCCTAGCTCAGAAAATGATACACCCATGATTCCCATGAACTGTCGAAACACACATACGGGGTCAAATCCCCCAAAAAAAGAATTCATTTTTTTTATCTTCTCCTTTAACTCCCCCTGTTCAGAACCTCTTGCGTACAACGCCGCCCACGTGGATGTAGGTTGAGCGGCGGATGACCCCCCCCCCCGTGTGTCGTATCGACCCACTTGCACACAGCCAAAAGGCAAAGAGACAAAGAAAAGAGGATAAATATATTTTGCTGTTCCCTTTCTTTTTTCTTTGCCTCTTTGCCTTCTGGCTGTGTGCAAGTGGGTCGATATGACACACGGGGGTGGGGGCAGCCGCCGCTCAACCTACATCCACGTGGGCGGCCTCGTATGCAATAGGTTCTGAACAGGGGCAGTTGCAAGGAAGAAGATAAAAAATGAATTGATATCTTTTATTTTTTTCGCTTTTGCAATTGAAGGGTGACGGTCTTGAGATATCATCACTGTGCTGACCGGCCCCAGGCAATTCAGAAATATTTGGTTTCACTCATCAATCAAGTTCCATCACCTGGGTTCTAACACGGGTCTGCGTTTTAATAGTTCAATGGTATACCCACTGATGGCACGCTCACACTGCGGTATCAAAACCGCATATTCCCCAAAATCCCCAAAAAATGGGGTCGAGGGGTAGTCACACTGGGTGCACATTTTCGCAAAGCACTTATTCCCGAACCCTTTTGTCAGCAGCCTGAGAGGCCGCGGGGGTTGGGAAGGAGGTTACCGCAAATTCCTTTTTCTTTTTTTTTTCTTTTTTTAGAAATGACTTAAAATGGAATGGCAAGATATGGGCGCCATATCAATTGAAAATGAGGAATTTGGGCAAATGGGTGACCTCCTCGGCCGGTCAGACGCGAGAAGCGAGTCCCTGAACAACGAAGAAAAAAAAAAAAAGTAACAATTGAGAAAGAGGTCGGCGCCGTGTGACTGGCGACCTCCGCAATTTCGCACTAGCCGACCTACCGCGACCGTGGAATGGGTGGTTTGGGGACACAGTGTGACTGGCGCCGCCACTATATCCCCAAATAAGGCATCCGTATTTTTTAAGAATACGCGGTTTTGGTACCGCAGTGTGAGCGTGCCCTGAGCTGTAGGCTCTTGGGTTGTTCAATGACAATATCTCAAAGCCGTCGTCCTTACTGAAAATGAGAAGAGGCAGAAATGGGGAAAGAAAAAGGATGGGAGGAATAAAGAGAGGGGGGAAGAGAAAAGGAACACGAAAAAAAACAAACACAGTAAGCTGCTTCACCTTCGAAGAAACAGAAATAGATCCTCATTAAAAAAAAAACCCAAACGATACGCATCTACTGAACGGATTCAAAGCATGACAAAAATTTCCCATCGTTCACAAAAACAACAACAACAAACAGAAACAAAACGCGTCACCACCGCCTCCAGACACCACAGCCCAACCGATCATTTCGGATCCCTGTGGGTGTACCTACCCACTGCAGCAAATAAAAGCGCCAAGCTTCCGTGATATCACATTAGATCAAAACACAACTGTTACATGGAAAGAGACACTCATATATGTTGTTCGGATTATCCGTTGACGTACACCAACATGAGAATGAATCTGCCGCTAGAAGATGGACATATACCGCCATATCTTTTTGTCTTTAGTGCATGTGGTGACTAGTGGAGCAAGGCTCATTACCTGGAGGTAAATCCCCACCTAACCTCCCATCCCCACATCACAAATTCGACAGCGGCGGCTCACGTTTTTCTTTTGCTGTTTTGTTATTCTGTTGTTTGTATTGTGAAATGCCGACTCTCCGACTCCTCGAAGAACCGAAATCGAGAACGGAGCCTTCCTAGCACCTACCGAAACCCTTATGCTACTATTACCTATAAACTACTTGCTACTATTACTGCAGCCATACTTACAGAACTGCTTCTATTGCTGTTCTGCAGCCTCGTCATCGTCTTCGTCATCATCATATTCGTCCTCATCATCCAGGCTCTCCACAAGTCGAAAAGTCTCGGGGAGATAAGCCCCTCCTCTACCAGAAGATGATGAGAGTCGATAACAGATACCTGCCGCAAAGCTCCTGCGACGTGACGGCAGGCTCCGCAGCTTCACGACGCCATCGCCGGCCGTGATCGTGCTGTTCTGCAGCCTCGTCATCGTCTTCGTCATCATCATCTTCGTCCTCATCGTCCTCATCAGGCTCTCCACTACTCTAAAAGTCTCGGGGAGATAAGCCCCTCCTCTACCGGAAGATGACGAGAGTCGATAACAGATACCTGTTCAACAAAGTTCCTGGGACGTGACGGCAGGCTCCGCAGCTTCACTACGCCATCGCTGGCCGTGATCGTGAAGTCAAAGAGGTCTTTGACTTCTTACCATGGCATTCGGCGTTCGCACGACAGACAGGCTAGCCAATCAATCATTATTTGGCCTACAGTCCACAGACAGCCAAGCCCACACACAATCCATCAGTTCGCCGTTATTCTTAAAAAGCTTCTCTCTGCTCCTCTGGAGGAGGAGGAGAGCAATTGAGCAATTGTTTCTATCATCATCGGATAGTCACACAGACTGAGGTAGCTCGATCACTCCAAAGCCTTCTTCCGTCGGCGCCTGAGCTCGATCATCTCGAACAGACTCCCATCCAAAACCCCACGAATGGCATTTTTCGAAATGAGTCCCCCCTTAGCCGCCAGCAAGTACGTGAACCCCCACTCGAGCTTGGAAGCCGTCCATCCGAAGGGATCGACGGCATCTCGAAGGGCCTCGGTCATCTCCATCAACTCCCAGAAAGTCAACCCACCCTTGTGCTCCCGGTCGAACTTCGAAAAGATCTCTTCGAATTTCTCCGGCTGAAACCGCCCCTCGCTGTCGTACACCTCGGAGTCGCTGGCATGCTTCGCCTTGTGAATGTTGCGGATCACGATGACGAAGAACGGCGATGGCAGCCATCCGTCGAGTGTCATGTAGCTCATCGTCCCGTTGATGACGATGGCTGCCGCGAGAGAGATCAAGAAGTTGAACCCAAGAGCTCGAAAGCCGGCATACGTCTCCCAAGGGTAGACCAGCCCATCCTTGTTCCTGTCGAAGAAAGCAGCATGTTGCTGCAGAACGGTTAAGTTCTGGTGATCGTGTCCCGGGGTCCCAGTTGGCGTTTCCATGGTCACCGCAGCCAATGCCCGCGGCAGGTGGGGCTTCTCCACGTACTTATCTAGATCGACCGGCACAGGACGGCGCAACGTCACAGGTGCTGCCGACGTGGCACTTTCCAACTGCACGTCCGCCATAGCTGCTCTTCTCAGGTCGCACGGCGACGGACCCCCAGCAACACTCACTCCTCTTAGCAGCACTACCAACTGTCTCCTTCTTCTTCCCGCAGTCGCAGACAGACTGGTAGCACGGCCACCGGGCCCAACACTAACTTGAAGACTTCACTCGCTCCCCGACACTACCGTCGCCTGTCCCCTTCTTCTTACCGCAGCCAGATATGCTGACACTACACCGAACGACTCCAACCCCTCCTCAAAGACCACAACGACAACTCGCTGACCCGTTGAGTCGTTGACCATAGGTCAGTTGCGCCACCGGAGCTCCGCACTCGGTTTCTGTTCCTTCACAGCCCCTTCCTGCTCGCTTATATATGCCTATGACTGCGCATCGCGCACTACAGTCCATCTGTATCTAGTCACTCGCTCCACATACGCCCCCTATACCCCGTCACTCAATATCCATCGAAAATTGGCGCGCTAACCGCCGATCTCTTCACTGTTCAGCTCTGAAATAAGCCCCAGTCACAGTCACCATACAAACTGCATAGGTAGGGTGTATCGCCTCGTCCCAACCCTCGCCCAAAACCCGACATAGACAGACCGGCGATCCCGCCTGCTACACCGTTTCCGGGTTTTTTTTTTTTTTTTTTTTTTTTTTTTCAGTCGGGCTGCTCCGTTTATCGGTCGTCCCATTGATACGTCTTTAAAAAAAAAGCAAAACCATGCTCATGCGACGGACCGGGAAGACCCGTTGCTGGAAACCAGGTCCAGCATCCTGCCCCTCTCCTGACATGCGGCCAGGCTCAGGAAAACGGAAGGAGCCACTTGGGGGGGCACCAATGGGAGCCTCCTTCCATTTCCTCGTCTGACCTCAATCTCTCGCTGTGCTCTCCTCGAATATGTGCTGGGGGCTGAGCCCAGCATTCTGTCGTTCCTCGTTTTTCAGAAGCTGTTCAGATTTTCTGGGAGATGCTCAGCTTCACTGCAGATGGCACCAGATGTATAAGCCAAGCAGCGCTTAGGTACTTAGGTAGCATCCGGGAACAGCGACTCAGGTAGCGTTTCCTCCAGGGACAACGGGTGAGGGGGGAAACGGTCTGCGAATTCCTGCGCTGGTAGTAACGGGTCCCAAGGGTCAACCTTTGTCCACTCATGAAAATGCAGCTGATAATCCCTTTCAATCTCTGCCTGTTGTCCCCCTTGTGGTCCCACCTCCTCCTCCTGTTGATGTTCCCGTTGGTGTTCCTAAAGCCCAGTCCCATCTCCTGCCCAGCTCAACTTTGCCACCTAGCCCTCCCTCCTCCCTCCTAACCAGTCCTCGCAGAAGTGAGAGATGATTCTATTGACATCGCCCCTGGTGTGTACTTGGTTCAACTTATTCTTAGCCGGCCCCCACTGGGCTGTAATCTCGTACTGTACTAACAGCCGTAATTGCTCTGTGACCTTCCCATCTTCCACCCTTGCTCCCTCTACTTCCAGGATACACCTTCTCCACCATATTACCCACAGGACGACGCATCTGCCCAGGCGAAACATGTTCTCTTCGAATGTGTTTCCTCGAATCTGGGGGTAATGTCCCAGAAGTATGGCCCTCCAGTCCCATGGCCATGATGAGCCTGGCACCATGTGCTGCCAAATCTTGTCCCACCACCTCCATAACAATACGGCCGAGGGGCACTGAAGGAAGATGTGCTCTATCGTCTCAGAGCGCTTTTTTCCAGGGAACTGGCATTTCGTCAAAATGGACATCTTTTATTTTTTGAACGAAATTGAAATCGAGTTTTTTGGCCGAAAACTCGTTAAATTTTGTTGTTCCTGAGGGTCCGGCATTTGTAAGACGCTGGACTCCCTGGCTGTACATGGACCTAGCTTGAGACCAGGGACATCCAGGCAGGTGCCTCGATGTCCCTGGTCTCAAGCTAGGTCCATGGACAGCCAGGGGGTCCAGCGTCTTACAAACGCCAGACGGAGAGAGAGAGAGAGAGAGAGAGAGAGAGAGAGAGAGAGAGAGAGAGCTCTAATTACTGTCAGGAACGTCAGAGGGAAATTCTCAATGGGGTAATATCATAAGTTTTAGAACAATATCTTTATTTTCCAACTTAGTATATAGACATAATAATCGAGCGCTCAGGGCATACTTACTATGAGGACTCGTTCTGGTTGTACTGGATCGGAAAGGCGGCCAAATTCAGTCATTAATGTGACTGTTGTAAGTGTGCCCACGCTCATCGACCGCCGGGCACTGGACCAATGGCTGCCATCCCGTTCGCGGGTGGAACTGTAGCGTCGCGTGTAAGAGAGAGAGAGAGAGAGTTTCATCGATAGGATGAGCTACGCACCGGCAGCAGAGTCTCCAACCACGTGTCGTTCTTGATAGCAACCTGTAATGATTGGTTCAGCCTTGTTGTGGAAGAGAGAATGGAACGTGAATGAATGAAAACTAGGCCGATTCGACCGAAGTGGGTAGGCTGGGCATCAGGCTGTAGGCCTGGGTCCACGCTGTTTCATATTTGAATTTTCAAGGACCTGCGGCCTCCACGCCGTTTCAAAATATTTTAGACCACGGCCACCTACCGGTTCCCAGGAAAATGCCACGGGCAAATACCGGTCTTGCATATGCTTAAAGTGCGCCCCCCCCCCTAAATGCTAATGCCTTTCATTTTACCAGCCTTTGAACGACCGATGGGCCCGAATGAACGACCGGTATAACGAACGGCGACGAAAATGTCTCAGGGGGGGAAAACACAACCCTAACGGGCTGCGAACATAGCCTAGCCAATGGGCTGCGAATATGTCAGTGAACAAGTCATGCCAGTGGGACCGGGGCACTGACCCTGCGACCATCTAGGTTCGGGCCATAATCCGGCTCGGCACAACAGGCGCGTTGGGGCGGTTTTTAGCTTGGCAGAATAGGCGCGGAGGGGCTGGTGGTTTATATGTTCGCAGCCCGTCAGGGTTGCGCTTTCCCCCCTAAGACATTTCAACGTCAATCAAATTTTAACGTCGTGGTCGTCGGGAGGGTGGGCATTTTGAGGTTTTGGGGCCTTGCAAGGGCCAGGACCGCATAGGACCGGTAGCTGCCCGTAGGAGGCCGAGGAGGCCGTGGTCCTTAAGCCTTTTTCGAAATTGAAACGGTGTGGGTGCAGTTTTATCGAATAGCAGAGTACTTAGAATAGAAATCGTACAGGTTTTATTCGAATACAACGAGTACACTTTCTATTCGGATTTCGAAAAGAAAAAACTTTTCTATTCCAATACAAT